GTATAGATTTATAAAATGTGTTATACTGTTTATTTCACTTCAGGGAATTAGTAGTAAATTGTAATACCCCTTCCAGGTGTTCCACATCTGGTTTGGGGCTGTAGTTACTGTAAAAAAATTGCCAAAACTGATCAAACTGAAGGCTTAACAAAGGGGAACTAGGTCAGGCCACAGAAGGAGCCTGGAAAGCTAACCTAGGCTCCAACTACAACATTTAGAGTTGTGACTCTTAATAAAGAATAATAATAACAAAGAGATTCGCATAAGAGGTATTCCAAAAATGGTGCAAAAAATCCTAATGTAAAATTGTATTGACGCTGACTGAGGGCCTCCCACAGCCAACCTCCCTAAGCCGTCCCCTACCCTCAGCCATTTGCATGTTTCTGCAGCAATGTCATCAGCTTTCTCTACGACGAGTCTCTAGAGTCTGTCTGGTCACCAGTGGCAGTTTCCACAACAGGATCTCCCTCAACGCCCACATCTGGGGAAAAGTCCTTTGCTGTCAATCTGCAACCTGCTCTTAGCCCCATACCTGCTCTGGGTGAGGCGTGGGCAGAGCAATGCAGAGCACACCTCAAGGGAAGGCTTGCTGGGCACCAGGGAGCAGCAGGGAGCGGACAGTGTCAGGGATTGGACAATCTTGTGCCCAGCTGGGCACAGTTCACAGGCTAGGCCACTTATTTCCAATATTGAGGGAGAGGAAGAATTATTCAATCAACAAAGATGGGAAATGAGCTGCTCTGGAAAAAAATGGGGCCTATCTTATATCAAATCCCGAAAGAAATTCTAGCTGCCTTTATTGTTAAAAATGACAGAATAGCTAAGCAAATGCATATGGTGATTGACCCTGTGACTAAAACAAGATATACTAAGAGCTAAAGCAACAGGAGCACTCCCCAAAAAAACACTTCGATATAATCAATGATCCACAAATTTAAAACTTCGAACAAAAATTAAGAGAAGTAAAAATCTGGAAAAATACTGTAACCACTATTATAAGCTATTTCAAAAACATAAATGTCTCAGAAAAAAAGCAAAAAATCTATTAACAGACAATTTAATGAAATACAAATAAATGGTCAACAGACCATTAAAAATTCAATTATAATTGTCAAATAAATTCTAAATAAAACTGATACTATTCTTAACCTATCAGCTTGGATTTTTTTTAATTCAATATTCAAAATTGACAATGAAATATACACACAAATCGCTATTAAGAAGGCTAACTGGTCCAATCCTGTTGGAAAACCACTTGGCCTTTTACCAGGCATTCTACTTCTGGGAATATAAAAAAGGAAAGACACACCAAAATATAGGTATTACAAAATATACACATTACATCACTATGAGAAATAAACTGTGTTCAACAATAGGGAAAGACTGCATAAATTACAATCATTAAATATCATGTTTTGAAGATTATTTAATGCCGTGAATAAATGTTGAGCACAGAAAATAAAATTAAGAAAACATCAGGAATTCAAAACTATTTACAGTGCCTGTAGTCCCAGCTACAGGGAGCCTGAGGTGGGAGGATCTCTTGAGCCTAGGAGTTTGAGACCAGCCTGGGCAACACAGCAAGACTGTCTCAAAAAAAAAAAAAAAAAAAGAAAAAACTGTTTACAGTTTTACAGAAAAAAATGTGTGTGCATAAAAAAGTTTGGCGGAAGATAAACAATTAAAACATCAGCAGGTATACCTGCCTAACAGAAATAAAGCACCTTATTCCTTTCTTCTTTTTCTATAGTTTTAAATTTCTTACGGGTATAGAAAAAAGTTTTTAAAAATCCATAACAAGTATCAACAGCCATAAGGTATAACTTCTTTTAGACCCCAAGTCCAAATTGTACAATGAATACACCAAAATCCCAACAACATTTTGTATAAAAGTCAGTAAGTTATTGGCCTCATCTGGGTAGGCAGCTAGCTACCAGCTCACTAGTTGAGTAAGCAGATGAAATTTGAGAAGAAATGCAGCAAACACCCAATGAGAAGGTGAAAAAGCAGTTTTTCTCTACAAGGTGGGCCTTGTTTCCGGGTGACCGCTTCCTGGCTGGGTTCATTTCAGCTTTCCCACTTGCAGTGAGAGAGGTACCTAAGTGTCAACCTAGAAGCAATAGGCCAAGGCACAAAATATAATTTAAAAGAGTTTACTTGAGCCAAAGTGAGGACAGCTGTCAGAAGACTCAGAGTCAAATAACCTTGGCTGTGAGCTTCACTCGGCCTTCGTTACTAACAGGTTTTTAAAGGCAAAAAAAGGGGACAGAAAGTGAGCTGATATGACATGGTTTGTCAGGAATTCTCATTTGACTAGGGATTGGCTATACATTGTTAAGCTATAAGGTGTGGGTTATAGTGTTGGAAGCCGCACTGTTAGGTAAATTTATAGCTACTTGCAGCAAAAGCAAGCAGTTTCAAGAGCAGAATACATAGCTCAATGAGGGGAAGTATAATAGAAAATGACCACTCTCATTTTAATGTCTCTGCAGGTGACTCGCATTCCTCAAATTAAAGTTTTCTTTTTTTTCCTCACAAGGAAATCACTTTAACAGCCTCAGACTTTTAGAAGCCCCGAAACTGCAGAAGGTAAGTAAACACAAGGTGGCCATCATTGTCCACAACTGCCCCTCTTTTAAAAGCATAAAATACTGGAACAATACTCTGATGGGAGTAGCTAAAAGCAGTACAGTAGCTTCACCTGGAGCACTTGATGAATGCCCCCACCTGCCAACAACACACACACACACACACACACACACCACCCCCCCCACCCCCCACCCCCAGTTTCTAATTTTACTCAATCAGCTTGGAGTGGGTGCTAGAGAATTTGCAGCTCTTACACTCTCCCAGCTGATGCTGATGCTGCCAGTCTGAGTACCACACTTTGAGAACAGCTACCCTGAAGCACAGTAACACGTTTCCCGTGCATCCTTTCCAACAGCAGGAATTTTAAGAACTTCCCTTAAACTCCAGCCTGCAAGAACAAGGGGCTGTTTGGAATAGCCTGCTTCATGCGTTTTTATTTTTTTCTTTTTTGATATATGGTCCTGCTCTGTTGCCCTGGCTAGAGTGCAGTGGCGTCATCATAGCTCACTGCAACCTCCAACTCCTGGACTCAAGAGATCCTCCTGCCTCAGCCTCCCGAGTAGCTGGCACTACAGGCATACGTTACCACGCCAGGCTAATTTTTCTATTTTTTGTACAGACAAGGTCTAGCTCTTGTTAGAATTCCTAGCCTCAAGCAATCCTCCCAACTCAGCCTCCCAAAGTGCTAGGATGACAGGCCTGAGTCACCAGGCCTGCATTCTCTGTGCATTTAAGAACAAGCACCCCATTGGAAGCAGCTCAGTACAATAGCTCCCAACACAGGCTTGTGAGCCAAACTGCCCAGGTCTGGACTCTGCTCAGCCACATACTAGCTGTGTGATCCCAGGCAACTTCACCTTTCCATTCCCCTGCACCTACATTTTGAAAATCCACAGAAACTGCATCAAGGGTTCCTTGCCCTGCCTGAAGTTGAGCAGACCATTTGCCTACTTCATGCTATTATTTATAGGAACCACACCCTATCCCTTTCTCCTCCACACCCCTCTCTCTTTAAGAGCAGGGCTGCCAAACCACAAGGAAAGGCTCCTACAAAGAGTGCATTACAATTAAGAGTGGGTGACTCATCCTCTTGGGATCCCTTAGGTTTTCCCATTAAAAAAAAGGAAATATCAGAATATGTGGGAAAGATGGAAGGGCAGAGTTCAAGAAACAGAAAATCTACTAATTAAATAAATGTGAATAAAGTCCAAAGATACAGGCCCACCTAATTAGTACTCCAGGATAGGAGATGAAAACTTTTAGAGTGTCACCTCCCATGAGCCTTTCTTCACCTGTTACCTTGCACAAGAGCGGTAGAGCTAGGGGCCCTTCAGTGGTTTTAGGATGGCAGGACTCCTGGTCAGAACCACCTGCGCCAAGACCATGGATCGTCTCTCTGAAGGCTGGAGATTCTAAAAAGACAACACAGGTTTTGGGGGCCGCACACCCAGTGCAGTCCTCAAAGGTGGAGGTGAAAATATTGCAAATAGGGACCAAAGGCTGGTCAAAGATATACTGCAGTCGTGGCTAGGCGTCTCTTAGTCAAAAGCAAAACGTGAAGCCATGCGCGGTGGCCAGTGTTTGTAAGGTAACCCCAGAATCCCAGGGACTGGGAGGCTGAGGCGGGAGGATCTCTTGAGCCCAGGAGTTGGAGACCAGTCTGTGGCGAGACTCATCTCAAAAAGAAGAAGAAGAAAAAAAGGCAAAACGTGGAAGCAGATCTTGTTCAAGAACAATGTCCCCATTCATAAGTAAAATACTAAAGTGTTATTTTACCCACATGGAATTTACCATAAACTAGGTATCATGACACCCAGGGACACATACACACGGATAGACATCTGGACACGGAGAGACACACAGCGGGAACCGGGTGGAGTTAGACCGAGTTGTCTCCTAGGGAATATCGGAAAAGGTGGGGACACTATTGGAAGATGGCATTAGTCCAGCACACTAAATTAGGTTTTGGCTGAAATCAGATAAAGGAAACTGTTCATCATAAGCTGCTTACTTAAAAAGAAAAAGGTGCCGTTTCAGTTCAGGGGACTGCGAATCCCCGAGCCGCAGGTGGGAAGGCGGCGAAGGGTGGGCGTGTAAGGGGTCCAGTCCCTCTCCCGCGGGGCAATGATCCCCGCTTTAGGCGCCTCGGTTCTCCGCCTGCCCTCCCGCCCGGGCATTGCAAGCTAGCGGGGCTCGAGCAGCAAGGCAGCTGGCCCTGCGCTCCCGCCGCCGGGTCCCCGTCGCCCTCCCGGAGCGCAGGTGGGGACCACGCGGCCGGCGTGGGGCGGCACCGGCGGCAGCGGTAAGCCCCGGCGTGGACTCCAGAGCACGGGAAACCCTCCCCTCGCCACCACCCGCAGAAGGGGCTGGCCAGGGCGGCACGGTGGCCCGGCTAGGGCGGGGGCGCTCACCAGAAGAACACGCGCGAGCAGAGGTTCGCGTCCCGCAGCGGGTTGGGCTTCACCTCCGCGTACACGGGCTGCATCTTGCCGGGCGGGGCGGGCACGGGCCGGGGTCGCGCAGCTCGGGCGGCGGTGGCCGCAGGCTCTGCTCCAGCAGGCGCGAGTAGGGATGCTGGAGCTGCGGCCGCCGCGCCGGTCCGCTGGATGGGAGCCCGAGAGCCAGCCGCTTCCGGGAGCTGGGCGCCGGCGGCACGCCCCGTCCCCGCCTCCCGGGCTCGCCGCCGCCCAGGCCGCCTTGGGGGCGCCCGCTCCGCGCCGCCGCCTGGAGCCCGGGAGCTGCGCGCCGCGTGCGAGCGCGGCCGGGGGCGGCGAGTGACGCGGTGGCAGGAGACGCGCGGGGAGCCCGGGGCTGCGCGTAGGTGAGGCGGGGCTGGATGAGGGCTCCGGCGGGCGCGCCCACGTGCTCCGAGCGACTGCGGACGGTGCCCCAGTTCGAGATCCGAGTCAAGGCGCAGGCCCTCAAGGTGACGGCTGGGGGCAGGCGCCGGCTCTGGCCCCCCTGCCGCTCGGAAACGCCCGCTCGGCTGCGGCTTTATGGAGATGACCGAGCTGCCGGGCGGCTCCAGCTGCCCGCCCCTGGGCGCGTTGCCCTCCTCAGGACCAAACAGGGGTGCTGTGGGAGGTCCAGCAACCTGTGAGCCAGACAGCTGACCTCGGACAACAGCTGGGCTTAGTCCAGATTATCTTTCTAGAGCTGCAAGACCTAAAGAAAGGCAGGTAACATGAGAGGAGACCTCAAAGATGAATGAATGCTGCTTTCACTGGGGGCGGGCTTTTGGCATCTCACGTGTCGCATTGTGTGGTGGACCTCAGTGAGCTTTTTGCTGCCCTCTTAGATTGGGAAAGGAAGTTTCCAGAAGAGAGAGACTGCCTTGTGATTTCTTTCATTGCGCCCAGTAAACTGAACGGAATGACAGTGGCAAACGGAACACGTGTTACAGAAGACGCAGTTACGCGCGTTTCTGGGTACTTTCCCTCTCTTTTAACTCTACCGATATCCTATTCAAGGTTATTCTTATTTTACAGACAAGGAAGGTTAGACTCAAAGGCAGAACTTGTTCAAAGTCTTAAAGCCAGTAAATGATGAAACCAGATTTGTAGTCAAGTCTACGTCTGAGTAAGGTGTGTCTGGCTGGTCGTTGTGCATGAGAAATGCCCAGAATACACTCGTTGAATGATTGTAGGAATGGAAGCACAAAATCTTGTTCCAGGTTTGGGGACTCAGGTCCTAAGTCTTCAGTTATTTGTGTGGCGACCTTCAGCCCAACAACTTCACTTTCCTTCAGCCCTGAATGAAAAAAATCGAGATTACAAATTCATGGTGCTTGTAACAAGATCACTTTATTATCCTGTGATAATTTCACACATATGTTTGCTAACATGGTCTCAAAATAATGGCTTTTAAAGACAGCCTTACTATAGACAAACATGTATTTAAAAGCCAAGTGTATAAGAATGGCAAAATGTTGGTAATTTTTGAAGCCAAGTGATGGGTCATCATATCTATTTTATTTTATTTTAGAGACAGGGTCTCACTATGTTGCCCAGGCTGGATTCAGACTCTTGCACTCAAGCTTTCCTACCGCCTCAGCCTACCAAAAAGCTGGGACTGCAGGCTTGTGCCACCATGCCTGGCTCATGTTGGAGAATTTCTATCACAAAAAGGAAGACGCTAATTTGAATATTGTAAGAAAACTATGATCATTCAATTACCTACCTTTCTGTTAGCTCTTTCTCCGAAATACAATCTATAAACCAAAATAGCCCTCACCTGATTTACCATTGCTCCTTGAAACTCCCTAAATTTTCTAGCCTGATAAATGCTCAGCTATCGGTTCTGTTTCAAAGCTGAAGAATCTGTTTGCTAAAGTTAGAATTCTAGTGACTTGCCTTGTCAGACTGTCCCACACGCTCTCTCTACAACTATGTGAGAACCATAAATAGCCATCTCCAAACTGCCAAAGCACTCAGTCCCTCAGCTTCCGCTAAGTTTTTAACTAAGAATAAGTAAAAAGGAAATTACAGCAAAATAATGCAAATAATAGAATAAACACAAATATATAAGTATACTCATTCTCACCTATCAAATCAACAAACATTTTTTTATAAACAGAATATCTAATGCTAATGAGGGCAAAGTGTAATAGGGACTATAATATACTATCAGTAAAGTGTAAATTAGAATAGCCTTTTCAGAAAACAATTCTGCAATATGTATTAAGAGCCTTAAAAGTGTTCATCCCTTTGAGTCAATAATTTCACTCACAGGAATTCCACTTATAGGATCATTGAGGAAAACAATCATAACAGGCAATAATTAATGTACAAATTTATATACAAATAAATTTATCAGAGCAGTGCTTATTATAGTAGAATTTAAACAAACTACCAAAAATGTTCAGCAGCAGCAGAATGATTGAATCATGAATCATTTTTGAACAAGTGCTTTTTGAATGCCTGCCATATGTCAGATATCTTCAAAGCACTGGCAATCAGTGGTAAACAAAACCAATAAGGTTTCTCTTCTCATGGTGCTTACATTCAAGTAGTGGGAGACAGATGATGAACAGGTAAACAAATGAGCACTGGTAATTTCAGGTTGTGATGAGGGCTATGAGGAAAATAAAAAGGATGTGACAGAGTTCCTGGAGGTGGCTGTGTTCAGTCCTGATTTAAACTGGGCAGTAAAGGAAGACGGCTCAGAGAAAGAAAGACTTGAGCTGAAACATGGAAACCAAGAAGGAGCCAATCTGGAGCCAAGTCCTTGCAGCAAGGGGAACACAAAGGACAATGGCCCAAAAGAGACAACAGGAAGAGGCAGTGGGATCAAACTGAGATGGTGACCTGGGAGCAGACTGGAGAGGAACTGGTTTCTGGCAGGGTGGTGGGCAGAGATGCACATTTGGGAATCATCAGCTTACAGATGGTATTAAGAACCATGGCACTGAAGCCAAGGTGAAAAGGCTACATCCTGTAGGATTCCAATGATGTGACATTCTGGAAAAGCAAAACTATTGAGATGGTGAAAAGATCAGTAGTTTGCGAGGGTAGGGGGCAGAAAGGGATGAATGGGTGGGGGTGGGGCACAGAGGATTTTTAGAGCAGTGAAACTACTCAGTATGATAGTGTGATGGTGGATACATGTCATTATACATTTGTCCCGACTCATAGAATGCACAAAACCAAGAGTGAACCCTAATGTCAACCATGGGCTTTGGGAGATAATGATGTGTCAGTGTGGGTTTGTCTATTTTAACAAATGCACCCCTCTGGTGGAGGATATTGATAGTGGGAGAGGCTGTGCATTTGTAGGGATAAGGGGTGGGTGAGAACTCTCTGTACTTTCCACTCAATTTTGCTGTGAACCTAAAACTTCTCTAGAAAAATAAGGTCTATTATTTTTTAAAGATAACATTAGATAACCGAGGGAGAGAATGTAGATTAAAAAAAGAGAAGTGCCTGCCCAGAACCCCAAGGCCCTTAGCACCTCACACTAGCCCAACTTTCTACATCTCTGCCTAAGGGCTTTCTCTTCCACCAGAGTTGGCTCTGCCCAAGTTCCAGGCAGGCCAGAAGTGCCAGGGAATTAACGTCTCTCTCTGCCCTCCTCCCCCAGCAACCTTCAATCAGGCCAACAGGAGCCGGTGCATAGACAGCCCCCCTGACTCGTGCCTCAGGTAACTGTGAGGTTAGTGTCTGTACCATCTCCCGAACTTCCTTAGCAGGACCGTGTTCCAGTAGCCCACACTGGGAATATGCTGGATGATATGCCCTTCGCTGGCTTCATTCTCCTCCCTCTCTCACTTCTCCACCTCACAAACTATTTTTTAGGGTGGAAAGCTTAGTATGTGCTCACAACAAGGGTGGAGAAAGATTTCTCACGCAGAAATTAAGATATAAAAATAAAAAAGTACTTAATCCTTTCAGAAAGATAGAGAGAATGAGACAGTGAAAGAGAGAGAGGAAGAGAGCAGGGAGATGGTGTGGCATCAGAAGAAAGAAGGGAGATGCCAGCAGCTAGGCCAAGCGGCTTGCTGCTTTTATGGGGACAAGAGAAAAATAGTCATTGTCGTGGATTGCCCTATCCACTCCTTCTCTCCTTAACTGCAAGCAGATAATGGAATCTGCTGTGTGAAACTGCTGCATCCAGTCCCTTTGCTTCAGGGATAAAGTGACCTAGCCCTCAAGATAGGATTTTGGGCTGGGTTTGATGTCTGGAGATTGTTGCCCAAGCTGTCATGCAGGAACTTCTGAGCAACTATTACAGGTTATAGAAACGGATGCTAAAAGGCAGTTTTAGTCAATAGGTCTAGCAATGATAAAAAAAAATTGCATTTCCTTTTTGCCTGCTGGGCTCCTTAGAGATGTTCTGAAGACAGAGCTCCCAAGGGCACCTGTTAGCTAGGTGGACAGGGAGGGAGCAGAGAGAGCGGGGAGCTGATTTATTTCCCTCACAAGACCCACCGTCCTTTCACTATCGATATTCAAATTATTGTCTTAGGGTTTGGTTGCAGGGCCAAACTAAGACAACAGAGAATATTGCTATGGTGAGATATCCTGGGCTGGTCCAGGCGTATGATCCTAGCTACTCAGGATGCTGAGACGGGAGGATCACTTGAGACTAGTGAGACCATGTCTCATTAAAAAAAAAAAAAATAGAAAATATTCATATAATGATATGAAACCATTATATCAATTATGTATAAGAATGCATGAAACTAAGAAGTGATTATATCTGTATTGTGGGATTATGGGTGATTAAAAAATCAAAGTAGGCCTGGCGCAGTGGCTCAAGCCTGTAATCCTAGCACTCTGGGAGGCTGAGGCGGGTGGGTCATTTGAGGGTAGGAGTTCGAGACCAGCCTGAGCAAGAGCGAGACCCCGACTCTACTAAAAAAAATAGAAGGCCGGGCGCAGTGGCTCACGCCTGTAATCCTAGCTCTCTGGGAGGCCGAGGC